CTCATGAGTCATCAGCGTAACTTGAATTTGGAGATGTGGCCACCAGAGACAGGTGGCTGGGACCCGCAAGAGCAGCAGCAGGTGAGCGGTGGGCATGGCAAAGCAAAAGGCAGACACCATGGCCCCGATGCTCTGAGTGGTGACAGAGACAGCCAGCCACACGGTGACATGCACGCACCCTGGTAGGAGCAGTCACTGAACAGGGGCAGAGGGAGGACCCTTCCCGATGGGGCTTCATTCTGAGGACAGCATGTCATCCAGTCCTCCGTTTCCAGCTCCTTCTTTCCTCTTTACCCGTGAAACCTGCTCTAACCCCTCCTGTGGCCTTGCTCACCGACATATACAGGGTACCACGGTTTCCACCAGAAATCATTTTTACCAAGGAGCAACAAAAAATAGTATTTGCCAGCTAACTAGGATTGTAGAATGTGTTTTTATAGCCTCAGGTGCCTGGGACTTCGTCCACCAAAGGCGTCCTCCATTGTCTCACAGTGCTGGTTGACCAGATGAACAAGTGCACAGATGGGCGGAACACTGCATCCAGACTCAGGACCCCTCCCTGCAAACGAAGAGGCGTTCAGAGCTGAGGAGGTGCTGGGGCGACGGGGAGGTGGGATTTCACACACGTCCTCTTGGACGACTCCTGCACTCAGTCCCCGAGCTGAGAGAGGGTGACCTCGGGCTGGGCCATCATTGAGGCAGGTCTCCCCACCCTGTCACTGCAGGCTGGACAGGCATTTCTCTGGCCGCCCACTCCGTGCCCTAGGGTGCGTCACACACCCGTCCCAATACTCACCTCACAGCTCGCACCTCCACACCACGGCGCACCAGACTCCCTCCCTTCTCTCTCCTCCTAGAACTCCATCCTGCTCTCGCTAGGCCGGAGCTGTTACCTGGGCGACACCACTGGCCAGGATTTCGTTAGCTTCTCCCTCCGTGTCCACAGCCCTGCACCCCACCATCCTTCACCGCTCACTCTTCTCTAAAGTTCTCAAGAATGGCGCACAGGTGTTCAGCACACTGTCGTGCAGAGAGCACATCTGTGCTCATGATCTCGTCAGACTCTCACCACCATCCCATTAGGTCATCGGGAGAGTCTCCTGCCCGTTACAGATGTTTGGGTGTCTGCCCAGAAGAGGCAGGACTTGCAGCTGAGTGTGCTTTTCCTGAGCCCTGGGGCCATATGTCCCCGCCGTCTCAGAGTGAGGGCCATGGTTTGTGTGCTTCACCCCAGATCGAAAATACGGTATTTGGGCTGAAACGCGAAATGTTTGGGGACTTTATTTTCAGAGTACTGGGAAATCTGTCTCTGTGAATGAAAAGGAAGAACGGACCTTCTGCCCTCTGTTCTAATGGCAACTGGGAATGTTGACTTCACATTTATAATGGAATAAGATAATCAAAGCAGGTGTGAGGCTTGTTTTCACCAGCTCAGTATTTTTTATGGTGGTAAAATCCACATAAAAGTTACCATTTGAAGACTCAGTGGCATGAAGTACATGCACAGGGTTGTGCAACCATCTCTGCTCATTATCCCCAGAACATTCTCATCACCCACAATGGAAACCCCATCCCCACGAAGTAGCCACTGCCTGCTCCTTCTCCCCCTGCCTCTGACCACCCAGTCTGCTTCCTGTCTCCAGGGATTTGCCTAGTCTGGGCATTTCTGATCAATGGAATCCTATAGTATGTGACTCTTTGTGTCTGGCTTCTGTCCCTCAGAATAATGTTTCTGAGGTCCATCCACATGGTAGCATGTATCAGAACGTGATTCCCTTTAGTGGCTGAGTAATACTCCCTCGTGTGGGTATACTACCTTTTGTGTACCCGCGCATCCGTTGTTCAATCCTCTCGGCTGCGAGTAACGGGGCCATGAGCACACACACACAGGTAGGCGTCGGAAGGCCTGCTCGGGGTTGTAGCTAGGAACGTGGCTGGAGCAGAGAGGGCATGGAGAGCAGGTCAGACGGTCCAGGGGGAGCCTGGGGCCCATCGTGCGGCCCTGGCGTCCACTCTGGAGGAATGGAGGTCACGCGGCAGAGGCCAGGCTGCACTGATGGGTGCTTGTGCAGATCATTCTGGATGCTGTGTTTAGGTGGCTGAAGGAAGCCGGATTGGAGGCTGTTATGTCATCCGGGCAGTATTCTGACGGTGGTGCAGGTGTTAGGAGGTCATCAGAGCCCAGATATATTTTGAAGGTAGATATATTTCCTGTCCAGTTGGCACCAAGCTTTTTACCTCCGCATCTGGAGTTGACATTACCTAAGATGGGATAGACTGGGAGGGACAGGTATGAGCTCTACTCTGTGACTCACGGCAGGTCACTAAATCCCCATGAGGCTCAGCTTTTAAATGGAGATGGTCCTACCTCCTTCACAGGGCTGGGGAGGTTTTCAAATGAGGAAGTGCATGAAATGTGCTTTGCACTATGCTTGAGAGATAGTAATTGCTCAATAAATGACTGCTGTAATAATAATAATGTAGTAATAATGATGATGACTCTTAGTTGCTTGAATGCAGGAAGTGTATTGTGTGTTTCTCTACCCCCTACAGCACCAGTAAATTGCCTTAGACGTGGTAGGTGCTGAGAAAATATTTGCTGAATGGATTTATTATACTAGGGTACCTCGCAAGCCTGAAAACCGAGTTGAATAGACATAAAGGGTTTGTTGATATTGCGCTGCAGTACAGGATGGAATGTAACATAACGTCAGGATGCAACATAATATAATAAATTCAATGCAATGTGTAAAATGTATCAGTGGGTTGTCCCTCATTAGCAGTGTGGGGTTCTGTGCTCCATACAAAGTTGCCATGAACATGGCATCCATTCCTGCTCGTGCATCTGTGATGTGTTGCCTTGGATGATGTTTGTCTCTGCTTTTCATTGAGTTCAACTTGTGCCTTTGGCCTAGTCCAGAAGAAATAATCAAGAGGATTAATGCATACAAAAATAAAATATTAATCTTTGTTTCCAGACTTTATGGCCAGTGGTCACAGTGTAGATACCTTTATTTCTCCTGCTCAGTACCCTCTGTCTGTGGGAAGAGACAGTCTTTCTGTGGCTTATTATTGACCCCTTTGGGCATCAAGGATCTCTCTGTATCTCCTCCCCTCTGTAAGGACCAGCATCCGGATCCACTTTCTCCTACCAGAATGTGGCGTCTAGACCTCTTCCCGTTGACCTTCCCTTCTCCAGGGTCCCTTCATGTCCCCAACTTTTAAAGCTCTTCTTCCTGGGACAGGGAACAAAGATGTCTTGTTCCTCACCTCTGGGTTTCTGAGACTGCCCATACACACCCACCCCATCACACCGCTGTCCCAGCCGTGCAGTGAGACTGCCTGTGCACACCCACCCCGTCACACAGCTGTCCCAGCCGTGCAGTGACACTGCCCGTGCACACCCACCCCGCCACACCGCCGTCCCAGCCGTGCAGTGAGACTGCCCGTGCACACCCACCCCGCCACACCGCCGTCCCAGCCGTGCAGTGAGACTGCCCGTGCACACCCACCCCGTCACACCACTGTCCCAGCCGTGCAGTGAGACTGCCTGTGCACACCCACCCCGTCACACAGCTGTCCCAGCCGTGCAGTGACACTGCCCGTGCACACCCACCCCCTCACACCGCCGTCCCAGCCGTGCAGTGAGACTGCCCGTGCACACCCACCCCGCCACACCGCCGTCCCAGCCATGCAGTGAGACTGCCCGTGCACACCCACCCCGTCACACCACTGTCCCAGCCGTGCAGTGAGACTGCCTGTGCACACCCACCCCGTCACACCGCTGTCCCAGCCGTGCAGTGACACTGCCCGTGCACACCCACCCCCCCACACCGCCGTCCCAGCCGTGCAGTGAGACTGCCCGTGCACACCCACCCCGCCACACCGCCGTCCCAGCCATGCAGTGAGACTGCCCGTGCACACCCACCCCGTCACACCACTGTCCCAGCCGTGCAGTGAGACTGCCTGTGCACACCCACCCCGTCACACAGCTGTCCCAGCCGTGCAGTGACACTGCCCGTGCACACCCACCCCGCCACACCGCCGTCCCAGCCGTGCAGTGAGACTGCCCGTGCACACCCACCCCGCCACATCGCCGTCCCAGCCGTGCAATGAGACTGCCCGTGCACACCCACCCCGTCACACCGCCGTCCCAGCCGTGCAATGAGACTGCCCGTGCACAACCACCCCGCCACACCGCCATCCCAGCTGTGCAGTGAGAGTCAGTTTCTGTGTCTGCAGACTTTACATGATATGTGAGACCTGTTCTTGTTCAAACTACAAAGGTGCCCGGTTACCCCTAGATGTTTCGGGTCCATCCTATCGTTTGAAGCTAAAACATGGCTTTATGGAGAACGGGGGTGTGGGAAGTGAGGCCTTCAGGGAGTTACTCAGCTGGCCAAAGTGGGACCCAGCACCGGTTATGACTTTTAAAAGTGATATACAGTTGACATATAACACTGTGGAAGTTCAGGGTGCACAATGTGTTGATTTGGTCCATTTATATATCGCCACATGATTACCACCATAGCATCAACTAACACCTCCATCGCGTCGCATAATTATAATTTCATTTCGTGCTGAGAACACTGAAGATCTAGTCTCAGCCGCGTTGAAGTTTATAAAACAGTGGTGTTGACTATCCTCACTGTGCTCTACATCAGATCTCCAGAAATTATTCCTCTTTCAACTGCAAGTGTAGGCCCCTGACCAGCACCTCCCTGTTTCCTCCAACCCACAGCCCCTGCTGACTACCATTCTGTTTCTACAAGTTGCCTCTTTTAGATTTTACATGGAAGTGAGGACATGTGTCTCTCTGTCTGATTTAGTTCACTTTGCATCATGCCCTTACGGCCGATCCCTGTTGTTGCAAATGGTGGGATTTCCTTCTTTCTAGTAGCTGAATAAAATTCCTGTGTGTGTGTGTGTGTGTGTGTGTGTGTGTGTATGTGTGTGTTCACATTACTTTAATGACTTTAGCTTCTTTCTCTCTTGTGCAGGACACCAGCCATGATTGGCTGCTCCTTCGTGGTCAACAGGAAGTTCTTTGGTGAAATTGGCCTTCTGGACCCTGGGATGGATGTGTATGGAGGGGAAAATATCGAACTTGGAATCAAGGTTTGTGACGTGGCGTCCTCTGCTGTTGTTCATATTTATCGACAGAGCTGCCTGGTCATCGCGATGTGTATGTAAAGCTTCTTCAGCTGGCGAAGGGCAGATTCCTTTATCCCATGCGTTCCCGAGGGTGTTCCAGCAAGACTGCCACCCCCCGGGAATCCTGGGCCTTCCCCCTCAGGGGTTGAACAGTGTATTCCGCGCCTAGGTGACTCGCTCTGGACATCAGCCACAGAGTTTGTTTCCCATCCCCTTCCAGTTTCATTCTCTCCTTAAATTTGTCTGATAATTAAATTATCTCCTACAATTAGTACCGCCATTCTACGAATTTTGATGGTTCGTGTACATTATAGAATCATAAGATGCCCGAAGAGAGAAGGACCCTGTTCTGTGGGACCCGCCCTGGTCTCAGAAATGCTTCTCAGGAGAATGAGAGGGGAGGGAAGATGCAGAACGGGCCTCTGGCGGGGCCCCCAGCCCACGCCACTTCCACTGGCAAACACTATATACTGGGTTATGCTTAAGATTTTGTTCGAAAGAAGAATTCCACTGTAAAAAAATAAATAACATAGGACACATTCATATATTCCAACCTCTTGTTTTTTTTTTAGAGTTAAGATAAGTGAACCCCCAGCAGGCGAGGTAACTCCTTTAGGCCCTGGCAACCACTAAGCAGTAGACTTTCTTCTCCTGCCTGGTGCAAGTCTTCCTCCACGTGGCAAAGAATGAGTGTTGGGAGGGTGCCCTGGGGTCGCCGTGTCTGTTGCCCTGTCCTGAACCTTTGCTTGCCTAGGCCTCTAGAAAGTAGGCTTGTTGGAAATGACTCAGGACACAATTGTAAGGCTTAAAGTTTATTGAATTTCTTCCACCTTCCTCTGTTGTATTCTTGATTTTGTTCTACCAGGCAGGTACCCAAGTGCAGAGTCCCTACCCCTCATCGAAGCCTGCTGTGTTTGTGAGTTCACTGGTTTTTCCCTCGCCGCTCAGTACCTATAAGACACCCCATCAGCCCCTTTTCTACACTTGAGCCCCTTTGTGGAATGAAAGGCTTTGTGCCCGTGTGCTGTAATGAACAGCCAGGCTACATAAGCGAAGGAGATGGTGGGGGCCTTCCCTGGATCCTAAAATCACTCCCTTTTGCAGACCACAGACTGTTCCTGTGCTTTCTAGTCCAGGCTGGGCCCTTTCCTCGGTGGATGTGCATGGGATTCTTTGTAAAGCCCAGCAATTAAAAATCCATACATCTGTTACCCTAGCTCGTATACTGTCTTTCATCTGTGTTGAATTTAATTAAGGCACGGATCTGGACCCAGCATGGTGAACTTGGCCATGCTCCCGTCTTCTCATCCCTCCTTGTGCCGCTGTCGTTCTTTCCCTTAGCTCCCTTCAGCCTCCAGCACGCCGCAGCATTTAATTAGTCGCCATGTGTGTTGTTTCTATCTACCTTCCTTCCCCTTTCTGGTGCAGGCTCTGTGGAGCACAGATCTTTGCATCCCGAGCATGTAGAACCGCGCTCGGCACATGGCTCAATGGACAGCTGTCGGCTTAGTGACTGAATGGAAGCCTGTTGGGAATTCAACACGAGTAGAAGCATGGAGTAGTGGAAACAAACCTGACTGGAAGGAGCTGATGGCTTAATGAGAGGTTCCAGGCACTTATCTGTGCAAGGAAGGAGCTGAAGGAAGCCCTGCACTGAGAGAGTTGAGGTTTATTAAATTTCATTTTTAAGATAAGAGAGCTTTGAGTACCTCTGTGAGGAGGAAGCCAGAGAAGGGTGCGACCTCATTACCAACAGAGGGGAGAATGGGATGATGGGTAGAGTGCTGTCCCTTTGGAGCAGGGGCACAGGTGGAGGGTCATGGGGACAGGTGAGACTCCAGGGTTTGATTGCCTCTGTAGGCTGTGTTGTGGGGAGACAGGATGCGACAGTGGAACTCACTGCTAAGGTTCATTCACTAAGATGTTGGTCCCTCCACACTTGCGAGGCAGTTGCTTTGCAACAACCTAGACCTGGGAAAGATCAGACCCCATGGTGATGGTGGTGACCGAGTCCTGTGGGCTGCCCCCACACCTGAAGAAGGGGAGGGCCCTCTGTCTCAGCCAGGTATACCAAAGGCCCAAGGCCACCAGTGAGGAGCCGGTGAGTCCCCTCTGCACACTCCTGTGAACAGGTCGGAGCGAAGGGCTCGGAGCCCGCTCTCTGGCTCGTCTTCTCCACAGCAGTTTGGCTCCTCGCCTGCTCTCTTTTATGAGAAGGTCAGGTGGACGGGCGAGCAGACCACCCTTATGTGCAATTACCTGCCTCTTACTGTATGCGCTGCACATCCAGCATCCACGCTGGGGATGGGGAAGGTGTGTGCCTCCTACTTCCCGTTGACCATTCCTTCTGAGAGCTGCAAGCTGACTTCGTAGAAGCCTCTGCTTTCTGCCAATTCTTAAGGTGGGAGCTGAGTGTTGTTGGGACCATAAAGACCAAGGCCTGGGTTCGGGTCTTTGGAGCCACCGTCTACACAATACTCTGGTTCTCAAGGTGTGGTCCCTGACCAGCAGCATCGACCCCATCTGGGGATTGTTACAAATGCAGATTCTGGGGCCCTACCCTCCTAAATCTGACACTCTGGGGTGGGGTCCAGCAACTGTATTTTAACGAGCCTTCCAGGGGATTCTGTCACTTGGCCAAGTTTAAGGCCACTGGGTCTATACCCTGACCGTAGCCAGCTTCCTGGCAAATACTTTCCTCAGAAAGGAGCCCGGGTGAGAGTCCACATGTTCCAAGGCCCTCCTCCAGGTGCCCGCATGCCACCGGGTGCCCACGGCAAGTCCTTGTCCTCACTCGCAGCCCACACAGCACAGCCCACTTCATGTAGTGCACCGACTGCCTCCTTCACTTTTTTTAAAATATTTTTTCTTTATTGATTTCAGAGAGAGAGGAAGGGAGAGGGAAAGAGATAGAAACATCAGTGAGAGAGGACATCGATTGGCCGCCTCCTGCATGCCCCACACTGGGGATCACGCCCACAACCTGGGCATGTGCCCTGACCGGGTATTGAACTGGCGACCTCTTGGTGCCTGGGTCAGCGCTCAGCCACTGAGCCACACCGGCCAGGCTTGCCTTTTTAACTTTATACACAGGTGTCTGGACCAGGTGCTGCAAGGTTCCTGCACAGGGCTCCCTTTCACCTGGGGTAATCTAGGAAGGGTGCTTTATTTTTCCAGTAATAGTATTTCTCCTTTCATTTATGTGCTGTTTGATACTTCTGAGAGCACACATTAGGTAAATAATAAATACACTTGTAAGAAAGCCATCCCCACTGCTTGAAAAAACTCTGAGCTTTGTGTGGTATATTCACACATCTGTCATTTGAATACAGTAGGCACACATCCATTTGTATAAATTAACCTAGGAGAAGTGATACAAAATCAGTGGGAAGTTTTCAATATGAGAAACCATGTTTTCTTTCAGATTTTTTTCCCCCACTAAGAAATAGATCCATCTGAAGCCTTTCTAACTATTATCTGAAATTTTTCATTACTTTTTAATTTCTTAGTAAGTCAAGAAGTGTCACGAGAGCAGCAAGAATAGCCGGCTTCCTGTGGCTCGGGCCGTTGTCAGGATGAAAGGCAGCTGGCCTGTGACCAAAACAATCCGTACAATCCGTGGAGGGGAAGGAAAACTTCCCAGACCAGAGACGGAAAGGTTTCATCTTGCTCTGAATGACATGAGTCAGAAACTTTTAACGAGGCACATTATTGTAACATACCTAAGTGGAAGAGAGATAAAAACATTCTTCAAGCAGAGAAAAGCAGATAGATCACTTCTAAGTGGAGTGAAATCACGTGGCCTCAGGCTTCCCCGGGATGTCAGTCTTCTTTGGGAAGAAAAGGCGCCACTTACCCAGAACCCTCCTATGAAGAGTGACAGACGAGACTGCCGACTCTGTTCCTGGGGGAGGACAACAGAGAGGCACGGTCGGATCCCCCAGCGGTCAGAGAACGTCTTTGCTCGAGGACTGAGTGAAAGACAGGATTCGTGTTTGTGTACATGGTTGTTAAAAATATCTGTGGACTTTGGGCAGTTGGCTCAGTGGTAGAGCGACTCTGTGTGGATGGAAGGGTCTTGGGTTCGATTCCTGGTCAGGGGTATGTACCTGGGTTGCAGGTTTCCCCAGCCCTGGATGGGGTCATGTGGATGTTCCTCTCCCTCCCTCCCTTCCACTGTATCTAAAAATCAATGGAAACATATCTCAGGTGAGGATTAACAACAATAAATATACATCTATATATTAGTGAGACCAAGGACCACGGTGGAGGTAAGTAACATTTGGGTGTGGGGACTCACAGATGTTCTCGCTTTCCTATCTGGCCCTGCCCAGCCCCAAGGCCCTCCGCTGTGTGCGGCTTTCTCTGGAAGCTCTGTGAGAGTCCCAGGTAATGCATTCGGACTCGCGCTGGTGAATTATGGGCAAAGGACATGTGTATTTTAATGTGTACAGAGTAACAATACTGTCCTTAAAAAGCAGAGTTTGACCTGGCCACAATTGCTGGTCACGTGTTCGAGATGCCCTCAGCCACATGGTTTTTCTAAAGAGCTGCATGCCATTCTTATGACACCTGTGGGCCCACGATGGGCATTCTTGGCACCGTGCCCCGTCCACTTGAGCTCAAGTCATTGAAGATCTGCAGGGTCAGCCACAGACTGAGGTGCTGCCCGTCCCTGAGCCAACCAGGAAAACTTCATCAGTAGATTTGGAGAATGGCCTCCTTCAGAAGGGTCATTCAGAAAACACAGGCTGTCTAGGGTGGCCAAAGCCCCAGGCCCCCAATGGCCCGAGCCACAATCTGCCACTCACACTGGTCTTTTCCCATCTCTTGTTCACATTTTTGTTCCCCTCATCTCTTGTCTCTGAGAGGCTGGTGGAATAATTTAGTCTGAGTCTGAAGGCTGAAAATCAGGGGATGTATAGAGTCCCACTCCAAGTCTGAAAGTCCCAGAACCGGAAGTG